CCTCGCCCCTTACCCTCGCCCCTTACCCTCGCCCCTTACCCTCGCCCCTTACCCTCGCCCCTTACCCTCGCCCCTTACCCTCGCCCCTTACCCTCGCCCCTTACCCTCGCCCCTTACCCTCGCCCCTTACCCTCGCCCCTTACCCTCGCCCCTTACCCTCGCCCCTTACCCTCGCCCCTTACCTTGCCGCTCCCACTCTCCCTTTCCCCTCGCCCCTCCCTCTCTTCAAACCCCCCGGCCTCTGCACACACTCTCTGCGGCTGGCACTCACATCACATGCTGCGTTGCATGCAGCCAACTCCATGGGCGCGCACCTCACACCGCCCTGCCTGCACTGATGCTTCTCTTCTCACCACAAACTGCATCCTCTCTCTCTGGCTTCTCCCCCCTACGCATGCCCCTCCCCCCCACCTTGCACGTGTCCCCCCCACCATCAGCCCACATTATCTGCCTGCATTATCTGCCCCCGCAACATGGCTTCCTCGTGCTCACGTGCCCATGCATGCATGGTTCCCCCGCACCCATGCACCCATGCACCCATGCACCCATGCACCCATGCACCCCCACACACCCAACAGTATGCCAAGTACCCCACGAGCATCGCAGCGCTCTCCTTCTCACGGGACGGCCGTCTGCTGGCTGTGGCAGCCAGCTACACTTTTGAGATGGGCGACATCCCGTGAGTGCCTCCCCCCCTCCGTGAGTGCCTCCCCCCCTCTCATGAACCCCCCCCCTCCTTGCTCTCCCAAGTGCCCTGCTGCTGGCCGTGGCAGCCACCTACACCTTTGAGATGGGCCACATCCCGTCAGTGCTTCCCACTGGCCCTCTGCCCTCACAGCCGCCCTGCCATTACCGCCGCCCTGCCATTACCGCCGCCCTGCCATTACCGCCGCCCTGCCATTACTGCCGCCCTGCCATTACTGCCGCCCTGCCATTGCTGCCGCCCTGCCATTACTGCCGCCCTGCCATTACTGCCGCCCTGCCATTACCACCGCCCTGCCCTCACTGGCGTTGCTGGCATGCTGTTGTGATTGTCACTGCATGGCGCTGTGTTATGTGTGGGGGACCTATTCCACACTGTGCGCAGCGCTGCACATATGCTCCAGATTGCTCTTTCTGCTCATTGTGCTGGCTATTTCTTTCCTGCCCTTTTCTGTCCCATTCCATGCTGCCCCGTGCTTATTCGTGTTCACCTGTGATGCCCTCTGCTTCCTCGGGCTGCCATGCTGCCCACTGCTATGCTTCGCCACGCTGCCCACATCACAGGCATGAGAGGGACGCCATTCACATTCGCAACGTGAATGACGCCGAGGTCAAGCCCAAGCCCAAGGCATACAGCACTGCCACGTAGGCATGTGGCATCTGCCACGTAGGCACAGGCAGTGGATCGTGCACCTCCTCTTTCAAGTCCCAACCCGACTGCTCGCCCGTCCCTTGACATGAGAGCAGAGCATAGTGTTTGGCAGCGATAGATCATAGATGGTACACCTTCCTAGGATTCGTCCATGTGTGGTGCCGCATTATGGAGCGGCGACCTGTAGCATATGTGCGGCGTGCTAAGTCAGGAATTCTTCTGGGCTTCACTTGAAAGCGCCACAGCACGGCATGGCACAGCACTTTCTAGCAATGCGTTGCATTGTTTACAAGTTACTGATATCTTCCTCACATGTTTAAGTTCCCTAATGAGATTGCATTTTTTAACAGAATAATCGGACAATAATGGTAAAAAAGGATGGTGCACTCATAGTTGCCGGTGACATTCAACCTTCATCCATTGCCATTTTCAATCACCTGAATACAAGAGCTGGGCATTCTTTTTGAACAAAAGACTCGCAAAGCTCCAGACAGCAATAGCCTTCACTGTCAGTTGAAACCCATCACTTCCAACGCGTCCATAAGATCAGGATTCGCACCAATGGGAATTTCCGCTTCCGTCATTCCCGTCTGGTTCACGATGCCCCTTTCCCAGGACCCGCGTCGCACTTCGGAGCACGCCTAGCCAATCCTCAAATTCTTGCCAAGTCAATTTGGAATGTCGCAGAGCGAGCAGTTTCGCGTGCCCGTTACGGGTTTGGACTGTGCCTCCTGAGAAATGACCTGGCTTGCGACGCTGTTACGTACATGAAGCTGGCATCTCGCCGTAGTTTTGACGCTCATAACTCTTTCGTAGACTTTCGCGAACCAGTGGCATGGACGCACAAACGCCACGGCCAAGCGAAGAAAAAAACTGACTCACCTTCGTGCCTCCAGCATTTCTGACCATCTGGGCAGGTGCATCACGGCGCGACACGACCCCAGCCAAATGTGCGGCTCCGCACACAAATGGTACAAAACCAACTCTCTCTCCCCCAAACAGCACCAGCAATTCAAGCCTTCCAACAGCATTCATATCTGCTCAACATTCATTTCATATACTGTTCCCTTTGATTAGTAAGTCTAGCTGTCAGCAATCAACCGTTCGGCACGCATTCAAGCAATACGCCTGCACGCAAAAATCACCATGAGGTCGATTTACGGCCACAAGATCGCGATACTGCTGCTCATAGGCGCTTTTCTGCTGGTCGCACAGCCATCCAGGGCCAGCCGCGAATCAGTGTGGCGCAACCTGAACAGCGCATGGCGGAACAGCGGCGAGAATGCTCACCTCGCTGCGCCATCTCGCGGCAACTCCGGCGATTTTTTTACGCCAGCAGCTGACGGTTCCGCCGTCTACATCGTTCGCTTGAATGCCGCGCCTCCCCTCTCCGAATATCGCGGCGGAATCGCGGGCTACCCTGCCACGGCCACGTGGGACGACGGCAGCGACGAGGAGGACAGTGAGGCCGTGCCGCAGATGATTCTCCCTGCCGGCGATACCGCCGCCGCAGCAGGCAGCGAATCCGTCGACCTGGACGACACCGACAGCGACCAGCTGCTCTCAAACACGACGGCGCCTTCACCTCCGCCCGCAATCGGCACATCTGACGCCGCTGCTACTCCCAGCGCTCGCGGCGGTCGCGGTGGTAGCGGTAGCGGTAACGGAGGTCGTAAAGGTGGCGGCGGGTGCCCGCGGCACCGGCTAAGTCTGAGCATGGACCGCCCCCAGGTGGCTGCATTCGCGGGGCTGCTGCAGCGGCAGCAGGCGCAGGTGGCATCTGAGGCGGGCGTACCCGAGGACGGGCTGCTCTACAGCTACAAGCACACGTCCAACGGCTTCGCCGCACGCCTCTCGCCGCGCCAGTTGTGGCGGCTGCGGCGCCACCCCGCTGTGGCGTCCGTCCGCGCCAGCCGCGTGTTCCGCCGGCAGACCAGCGACTCGCCGCAGTTCCTGGGGCTCCTCGGGAAGGTGTGGCCGGCAGTGGGCGGGCAGAGCAAGGCGGGCGAGGGCACGGTGGTGGGGATCGTGGACACGGGTATCTGGCCCGAACACCCGTCCTTCAGCGATAAGGGGCTCTCCTTGCAGCTGCCGGCATGGTGGAAGGGCAAGTGCGAGCAGTCGAGCTCGTTCCGGTGCAACAAGAAGGTGATCGGCGCCAAGGCCTTCTATGCCGGCTTCCAGCAGAGCAGCGGCCGGCCCCTGCTGACCAACGACTGGCTCACTCCGCGAGATGTGGACGGCCATGGCACGTGGTGCGCTGGGGCTGCCGCGGGGAACCCCGTGAAGGTGAAGGGCGGCGGGCAGGTGAGTGGCATGGCGCCGGCAGCGCGCATTGCGGCGTACAAGGTCTTCTGGACGGACGGCTATGGGAACATGTACGCCACGGAGCCAGATATCATCGCAGCCGTCAATCAAGGCGTGGCGGACGGTGTGGATGTCCTGACGCTGTCCGTGGGGGGCATGAATCCCAACGACAACTATTTCAACGATCTCGCTTTCATGCGCGCCAATGCTGCCGGGGTGTTTGTCGCCTTTGCTGCCGGCAACGCTGGGCCTCCCGGGCGTGGAGGGTTCTACCGCACGCTGGACAACTTCGCCCCTTTCTACCTCACCGTTGGCGCCAGCACCATCGCCCGAGGTGGCGCCTCCCTTGCCTCCTCTACTGCCGACGATCCATCGCTCGCTCTCAGTGGCACTGGCTCTGCCAGCAACATCAGCTGCAATGGCACCGATGGCAGCACAGGCGACAACTTCAATGGCAACAGCACGGATGGCACTGATGGCACGATTCTGACTGGGATCACCTTCACCACTGCATCCTCCTCCGCCCCCGTGGTCGCTGACTTCTCTTCCCGTGGCCCCCTGCTGTAGCCGTCTGCCACGGCCCAGCCCCCCATGTCGGGCAACGCCATCCTCAAGCCCGACATCATCGGCCCGGGAGTGTACCTCATAGCCGCTGCCCCTGGGAAGAAACCCGGCGAACCTGGTGCTCTCGCCCGCATGTCGGGCACTTCCATGGCCACCCCACATTTAGTGGGGCTTGCTGCTTTAACCATCCAGAAGTACCTCAACTGGACCCCGGCGCAAGTGATGTCAGCACTGATGACGACAGCACGGGTGACGGGCACGAGCAAGAGCGCGATTAAGAGTGAGACGGGCAGGGAGGCCACCCCGTGGGAGATGGGCGCAGGCCACGTGTTTGTCAACGGGAGTGGTGTTTGGCCCCGTCCTCGCTTGGGCGGAGCTGACCTCAGAGACCGCGGAATCGCGGGAGGCCGCGGGACCGCGGGAGGCCGCGGGACCGCGGGAGGCCGCGGGACCGCGGGAGGCCGCGGGACCTCGGGAGGCCGTGGGTACTGCGAAAGGCCGCGGGTACCGCGGGAGGCCGCGAGACCGCGAGAGACCACGGAACCGCGGGAGGCCACGGGTACCGCGGGAGGCCGCGGGACCGCGGGAGACCGCGGAACCGCGGGAGGCCGCGGGTACCGCGGGAGGCCACGGGACCGCGGGAACCGCGGGAGGCCGCGGGAGGCTGCGAGAGACCACGGGACCGTGGGAGCCGCGGGAGCGCGGGACCACAGGGGCCATGAGGGCCGCGGGGGACGACCGCGGGACTGCGGGGGGCGCGGGATACCCGGTCGACCAGGATACCCGGGCGACGTGTGCGAAAGTCGCCGAGGTGGTTTCTGCAAGGACGACCTCGGGGGTGGTATCCCGAGGTCGACATGGCTGGTGGGCGCCGTCACGAGTGGAGTGTCTGCGCTGGGCGTGTGACGGGGAGTCGGGCACCAACCAGCTGCATGCACCTGCGAAGCTGGTGCACCGTTGTCAGGCGGGTGCAATGCTGTGCAGCCGACTTGCTGCAGCATTGGCACACCGTGGACTTGCAACATTGGCAAGCCGCGACTCTGCTCTGCTGGAGCGCGGTCGACCAAGTCGTGCTGGCACGCGGTCGACCGTGCTGCGCTGGCAGTCGACCAGCAGCCTTGCTAGGTCTGATGTAGTCTGTGTTGCCAATGTTGATGCAATCATTCTGAACTTTTGCTAGTGAAACTCTTGCCAATTTTCCCTGTGAATGCACAAGTAGTGAAAGCACAAGCAAACAACCAAGGGAACGAACACAGAGATCACACGAACATCCGTGCCTAGCCCGTAGTCTAGCTCCCGTTGCACGAGTTATCTCCGCATGAGTTAGCCGATTTTACACCCACATAAGTTGTTCGTAGGCCGCCAGCCGTGCAGTCACTAGCGTGCGCGTAGGTGACGCCGAGGTGATGGACACCCTGGAGGCACAGCTGGAGGATGCGAGGAGACGTCATGAGGCCCAGGAGTACGGGGCGATTCCTTGGGCGGTCGTCGAGGCTGGCATCCGCGCCGTGTGGGCGACGGAGCATCCCCCTTCTCGACCGGCCTGCATCTCCTCGACCAGTGAACAACGCGGGCGGCGTCGACGAGGGCGCCACGCCGCGGGTGGCCAAGTCGGTAGCAGCGCGGGAGGCACGTCGAGGCAGCGAGGTGTGATTCACGCCGATGAAGTCGGCGGCGTTCAAGCGCGAGGGATGCAGGCATCCGCGGCTGCAGGGGCCCCGCGGGGCTACGTCGGAGGCAGACGAAGTGAATTGGCGCCGATGTCGGCGACACACGTGACCGCGGGAGGAATTGCGCCGAGCTACGGCTACTTCAAATTTACGCCGGACAGGATCTAGGTCACCCCTCTGCTGGTCGGTTGTCCCGACATCCTCACGTGGAAGGAAGCCATCGAGCCCCAGCTGGAGATGGCCGGGCTGATGGGCTTCGCCCGCGGGACCGTGGCAACGCCGGAGGAGCACTACCCCGACCTGCGAGCAGAATTTCGCGCCGTGCAGTTGCTGACCTTCACGGTCATCTCGCGGTGCTGCTCACCGGGCGTACAGATCGCCCTCAAGTCGTGCAGGGAGTACCTCGACGCTGGCCACCGGGCGTGGCATTTCATCGAGTCGACTTACCAAGTCACCGACGATTTGTTCGTCGCCCAGCTTGAGGGGCAGCTGACGCACCTGCGTATGGGCGACGAGGAGACCGCAACTGACTACTGCAACCGAGCTCGGCGAATTCTCGCCACCATTCGTGTGAGGATCTGGTTCAGGAAAGATGATTCTATTGAATGATTCACCTGGGTACAAGGCGAGGCTATATATAGGCTCGACACAAAGGCAGTAACCCGGGTGTTACTAGAAGGTTCCGCGGGTCGCGAAGCGTCCCGAACGGGTCCTTCCCGAATTCGGTAGAAGGCAATTCGGTGGCAACCGAAAAGCCTAGAATTCGGTGCACTCAACCTAGTTCGGTGCCTACAACTATAATAACTATAGTAAAAGCAACGAACCTAGGAAATCTAGCAAAGGCAAGCAAAATAAAGCAAAGCTAAGCTAGATAATGCATAGTAAAGCAGAATCAAGCTAGTAAAGCGTAGCAATGACGTCGTACTCTCACACGTCCCCCCCTCAAAGCTGGGTGGCGTGAGAAACACCCTGCTTGACAAGATAGTCCTTGAGAGCACGGCGTGCGTTGCCCATATCAGCTGAACATGGAAAGCGTTATGAAGCTTCCAAGTAATAGGTAAGCGCAAGCGGAATGTAACTGGTGTCACATGTGCCTCAATGCGAAAAGGACCACAGAAGCGAGGCCGGAGCTTGGACGGTAGGTGAGACAGGTTCAAGTTGTGCGTGTCAAGAAGCACCTGATCTCCGACTGCTACTGAGTGATCACGTCGCTGGCGATCGGCATACTGCTTCTGGGAGTTCTGCATCGTGGTGAGACGTCGCTGAGTCTTCTCCCATAACTGCCGCATGGTGGTGACGAAGTCGTGTGCGGCTTGGACGTGTGCAGGAGTGGTTAACTGCTGTGGTGTAAGTGGTTCCCGTCCGTAGCACAGGAAGAATGGAGATTTCCCTGTGGCCGCATGCGACGCGTTATTGTAAGCGAACTCAAGTGTCGGTAACTGTGAATCCCAGTGGCTGACGTCGTCTTTGCAAGCTGTGTGCAGTAACTGTTCAACCACCTGATTGAGTCGCTCTGTCTGTCTGTCAGTCTGGGGGTGGTACGCTGAAGACATCGCAAGCTTTGTCCCCAACAATCCCATGAGTTCCCTCCAGAACTTACTAGTGAACTTAGGGTCTCTGTCCGAGATAAGTGTAGCGGGGATGCCGTGGATGGTGATGATGCGGTCGAAGAAGAGGCGAGCAGTTGCTTCAGCAGTAGCCGTGGCATTGGTCGGGATGAAGTGTCCCATTTTAGAGAACTTACCGATCACCACGAGTATAGCGTCATGCCCTCGTGAGGTCGAAGAAAGCCCAGTAATGAAGTCTAGGCTGACAACTTGCCATGGCTGCTCCGGTACGGGTAGAGGTTGAAGTAACCCTGCCTTTTTCTGCTTGCTACTCTTCATTCGCTGGCACGTGTCGCATGAGGTGACGAACTGCTGCACGTCTGCTGCCATCCGGGGCCAGTAGTAATACTTTGCTATTCCCGCTAACGTCTTGTTGCTCCCGAAATGTCCCGCGTATGCCACATCGTGAAACTCCTCCAGTAAGATCTGTCGGAGCGGGGCATAGTTCGGTACCCAAATCTTTCCTGATCCCTTTCTTACAGCTAGGTCCTTCTCCCACTGTAACAGCTTCTGTTTCTCTGCTGTAGCGATCTTTTCGTCCACGGAGTATCCATGCTGGAATAGACCCTTGAGCAGAGGGTTCATCTCGTCGAGCTGGATGCCTGCTACATGACCGGGGCAGCTCAACACGTCAGCTTTTTTGTGTAGCCCGGGCTTATAGACGATGTCGTAGTGGAAGTGGGTCTCCAAGAAGTCCACCCACCGCACCTGTCGTCGTGAGAGCGTCGGCTGCGACTTCAGGTATTTGAGGCTGCAGTGGTCAGTGTAAACTGTAGTCTTGGCTCCCTCTAGGTAACACCTCCACGCCTTGAAGGCTGTGACTATCGCTAAGGCTTCCTTGTCATGGATAGGGTAGTTCAGTTCTGCTCCGTGTAGCTTCTTACTCAGATAGGCGATGGGCTGCAAACCGCGTCCGTGATTCTGCATCAGTACTGCTCCGACTGCTTGGTCACTAGCGTCTGCTTCCACCACGTAGTCTCTGTCTGGATTCGGTAGGATGAGTACTGGCGCTGTAGTCAGTGCTGTCTGTAGCTGCTCCATGGCTTGCTGATGAGGAGTATCCCCTGTATCCGTCCACCTTCGCAGCTTCACACGTTTCCCGTTGTTGTAGATACACGCCTTCCGGTTGACCCAGTCGATCTCGGGGTTGAACCGCTTCAGAAAATCACGCCCCAAGATGAAATCTAATCCCTTGATGTTCGTGATCGGCAACGTCGGCTTCCACCTTAACGCTCCTATCTGCAGCTGCAGTGTTGACTCGCCGTGGATGGGAAGCTTCGTACCGTCCACCATCGTTGCTGTAAACTGGGTCTCTTCTGAGGATTCTTCAATTTTCTCCAACGTCCCGCAGTCGCACACCGAGTGGGACGCACCACTGTCCACCAGTGTCTGGAGGCGTCGCCCGTTGCAGATCACCTCGAGTACTAGTGGCTGTTGCTGCTCCGAGTAGCCGTAGATGGTATCGCTTATAGGATCGTAGGGTACGTCGAATATGTCATCCCTAGGTCCTGCGCTCGAAGATGCAGCTTCAATATCAGGTATCACCTGAGTAGGGTTAGAAGGATTTATCCGAGGCTGGTACAGCTTCTCTCGAGCATGGAACCTTCCCCTAGGCCTTTGCAGCTGTGTAGGCTTCATCTGTGGGGAACAGGGAGCCTTTAAACAGAGCTGCTGGGAGAGAATATTAACTCCTCGGAACGCTCGACCCTTGTTAGCGCTCCGGAGTAGGGTCCCCATATTACCCGGTACCGGTTTAATTTCTGACTCTCCCTTAATAAAGGCTTGAAACCCACGAGAAGTAATATTCTTACTTGTCGGGGTGTACGGCTGGAGTTTCCCAGTCGGTGCAGGGTCTTGTTTCGCGGAGTCTCCATTTGTCTCGGCGATTTCCCCTGGTGCCGGCTGGTCGTGACGTTTTAAACTCGCGCCATCATATTCTCCTTTTTTCGCCCTCTCCGAAGTTGCCACGTTGTCCGTTTTCTGCTTCGGGGGTGCCGCACTGTTCTTGTATCTCAGCTCCGCACGCCTTCCCTTCATTTCCCAACACGCCAAGATACGATGTCCTGTAGCGCCGCAAAATTTGTACGTCTCAGTTTTTGCTAGCCGCTGCTCCACATCGCCCTCGTCGTTCTCCATCGGTTCAGCAGTCGTGGGTGGTGCCAATCGCCCCATGCCACTAGTTGGCTTGTTGCGTCGTGTTCCGTAGTAGCTACTGTTCAACGTGTCGAACTGTTCGATCAGTGTTACCCGAAACTGCGCCCAAGTCCCTTCGCCTTGGACTATTCTGTTGTTGATCCACTCTAGAGCTGGGCCTTGTAACAGTGTTGCTGCGAGCCGTATGCGCATTGCGTCTTCTGTCGGGGTCGTGCATCCAACGGCTTCGAAGTAAATTTCGAGTTCAGCTACAAATCGACGAACGTCGTTCCCTTTAACTATAGGATCGAA